TGTATATGTATATGTATGTATATATATGTCTCCTGTACACCCACAGGAGGAGAGCCTTTTGACTACAAAACAGACCAGATTTACATGGTTTTCAATGGGAGCCAAACGGAGTTGCTCCATCTCTGCTCATAAACTACAGACAGTAATGCGCTGCAGTGCGTGTGTCTATACTTTATGTCAAATGTAAACGGTGTAAACTTTGTCGCTAACTCACCCTGTGTTTTCATCACGACTCGGGCACATGTGAAAAGCACCACAACACGGAGTCGGGGTGCGTTCACAGACGGTGGAAACCGTAGGAATTTTTAGGTTTCGGCGGAAAAAGTGCGAGAACACAGGAGGGATTTTTGTGTGATTTTAATGTTTTAATTGTGATTCTGGTGTTTGTTTTATGTGATGATTTGTGATGTGGACTGTGAAGCGCGTTGTGTTGCCCTGTGTATGAAAGGCGCTCTACAAATAAACTTTGATTGATTGATTGATTCCAGGGCTGGACTGGGACAAAAAAACGGCCCGGGCATTTTTTCCTTCTTAGCGGCCCAGGCAACTCAAAATGTTCAAGGAGCCATATTTGACAAAAAAAATCTGTCTGGAGCCGCAGCCCGTTGTATAAGGCTTGCATGAAGGTAACAGGGGCTGAAGCTACATTAGCTACATTAGCTACCTTAGCTACCTTAGCTACATTAGCTACCTTAGCTACATTAGCTATATTAGCCTAATATCTAAATGACAAAGTAAAGGCTACAAACACATAAAAACCATTCATGATTATCAATGTGTATTTTCACTGCAGCGTGTCCTGGAGAGAATGACGCACCACGTGACAACTCTGCTTTAACTTTAACCTTCATGCAATTGTACAAATACAGTAAATAAATCTGCTTTTTGGCTCCAAGTTCACCTGCATCACTGTCTGTTCATATCCATCACAGGCTGAAGTTTACTGGAGCTGAATGTCCTTAATGGCCTTTTCTTTCACCGTCTTTGCGAAGGTATTTGAAGTCTGAAAATAGGTGCTCTGACTTTATGATGAATGAATCTTTCAGTGAACGGTGTTTAAAGCTTCATTGTTCCTCCTGTTGCAACAAAACTTTTCATTACATCTCAAACATGAAGCAGTCCTTCCTCATTGACTGAAAGCAAATGTTCATTCTCATTCTTAGTCCAGTCTTATCATCGACTCTTCCTTTCTTTATCTTTGGGATCCGTGCTCACACGCCGGTTTGTTTACAGCAGCGGCCGCCTGGCACGGGCCGCGTCACAGGATATGACGCACTACGTGGACAGAAATGCTAAAATTGAATATTACTTATACAAGTTTTTGCAGCATTTAAAAACGTTAAGAATGTTTTTCCTCCTACAGAAACCACATTGAAACTAGAAATAAAATATAGCCCTCACACTCCATTTTCAGACATTTTTGAAAAGGCTCCAGGAGCCACTTTAGGGGCACTAAAGGTTGCCGACCCCTGGTTTATACAGTATGTAGAAGCAAATACTGTAGAGAGGATCAGGATGTGTGCAGTTTCAACAATAAAATAAAGTACAATAGTCTACATTAAACAGAGTAATAAACATGTCTCAGAGTGAGGGAGGTGAAACAGACAACACTATTGTTTGTTACAGGGATGAGAATTGGTAAACATTTCTGAAATGCATAATGTCAGCCATTAGCTGGCTCTAAATCTGTTTAATCTGTTCAAAACATTTTACTTTTGGGCTCAAACATGAACTTTTAATGCAATGGAAAATTTAGGTACCCGAGCTTTAATTTAGAGGAGAGGGGAGACGCGAACTGTTTTCTGCAGCGGTGTATTTATTGGGTGCACAAATTACGAAAAGACATGCATGGTCCTGTGCACGTTTATGGTCTTGGGTACATGGTCACGTTGCGGCTACGCGCTCACCGTGTTGTGTTGTGAGCGGCTCCCGGTGAGCGGTTCCTGCGTCCAGCTCAGAGCCGCTGGATGCGGGAACACTGCGGCCGCTGAGGTGGTGGAATCCCGTTCGAGTACATACAGCAGGTGCCCCGCGGACACGCGCGCTCCCCTCAAACATTTCTCAACGGATTTACACTTTTCACAAACATGTTTTCTGTATGAGGCAGACAGACCGGCCCAAATATGGGCATCGGCCCTTCGGGCATTGCCCGGTACGCCCGATGGCCAGTCCAGCCCTGATTGATTCTCTCGTTACGTTTCAAAAGAGAAAACAGATTCCAACGTTCATAGTGATGTCTGCCGTTCATGACACATAGAATGAACTAATTCACGTTCAAGTTCTTTTTTTAAAAATGTGTTGCGTTCAGTTCCACGTTCACAAAAAAATGAGCGTGTTCAATGAACGCGTTCTTTTGAACTCGTTCACGCACAACACTGGTTAAAATCCAATCCAATCAAATTTGCTACTGAAATATACAGTGTCTAATTGTTTGGTGTGTGTGTGAATGGTTGGTGGTGGTGGGAGGGGCCAATGGCACAAACTGGTTGCCTCGCTTCTGTCAGTGTGCCCCAGGGCAGCTGTGGCTACAGCAGAGGTCTGTCTCCACTGTGTTTGGTGTGAAAGCATTACATACGAAGCATCTTTGAGAGTCCAAAAAGTGTTATATAAAATCTTAGCATTATTATTATGATTATGATTATTATTACTATCATTATCTAAAACATGAAATACAAAAGTTTGTTTTTTAATTTATTTAATTTTTGATCCGACGCAAGTGTCTTTCTTTGGACCCAGCACCAGTCCTGTTTTTCCCGCTCAGTCTCAGTTACCTCCACTTCTTTGTCATCCTCCCCTGGTCCCATCTTGGTCCTGGCCTGGTCCTGGCCTGGTCCTGTCCTGGTCCCGTCGTCCTGGTTCTTTCCTGGTCTCTTCCTAGTCCTGTCCTAGTCCTGTCCTATCCCGTCCTTGTTCTGTCCTGGTCCTGTCCTGTTCCCATCCTGGTCCCGTCCTAGTCCTGTCCTGTTCCCATCCTGGTCCCGTCCTAGTCCTGTCCTGGTCCCTCCTAATCTCGTCTTAGTCCCGTCATGGTCCCATCCTGGTCCCGTCCTGGGCCCGTCCTGGTCCCGTTCTAGTCCTGTCTTGGTCCTGCGCTGTTCCCATCCTAGTCCTATCCTAGACCCGCCCTGGTCTCGTCCTTGTCCTGGTCCTTCCCTGGTCCCATCCTGTTCCTGGTCTCGTCCTGCTCCCGTCCTGCATGCTGCCCTGTACCTGCCTTCAAGTTCATGTATTTGTTCTTCAGTTTGAGTTGCCATGAACTGTGCTATTCAAATACAAATAAACCTTAAAGACTGCAATTACTAGTAAGGCAAGTTTATTTGTATAGCATAGTTCATACACAAGGCAACTCAAAGTGCTGAACAAAAAAGGACAGCATTAAAATCATAAATAATCACAGTACATTAAAAAGATAAAAATATAAAATCCCTCAGTTGTATGCACAGCTACACAGAACTGTTTTTAACCTGGTTTTAAACATTGTCAGAGAGGAGGCCTGTCTCACATCTTCAGGAAGACTGTTCCAGATTTTAGCAGCATGAATCTGAAAAGCAGCCTCCCCATGTTTAGTCCTGACTCTGGGCACTACCAGGAGTCCAGTCCCTGTGCTCCTCAGACTCCGGGCTGGTTCATATGGGACTAACATGTCACTAATATATTTTGGTGCGAGGCCATGGAGAGATTTGTACACAAGCAGAGCTGTTTTAAAGTCTATTCTCTGAGCCACAGGAAGCCAGTGCAGAGACCTGAGGACCGGACTAATATGGTCGTACTTCCTGGTTCTAGTCAGGACTCGAGCTGCTGCATTTTGAATGTACTGCAGCTGTTTTACAGCCTGTTTGGACAGACCTGTGAGCAGGCCATTGCAGTAGTCTAACCTACTGGAGACAAATGCATGGATAAGAATCTCCAGGTCTGCTTTAGACACTATGTTTTTGATCCTGGCAATGTTTTTTAGATGGCAAAAAGCTGCTGATGTTAATGATTTTTAGTAATAATGACTGTTTACAGTTCAACATTTTGCCACAGATGAACCAAAACCAAACTCTGTCATGTTTGTCATATTTTGCTGTTTGTTTTGAGGACAGTGCTCGGTCAGCAGCGGTTCTCTGTGATTCTCCAGTGTCCGATCTTAGGACACTAGCTGACCCAGCACTTCCCCCTCCCGAGCCGCTTCCCCCTCCCTCCACCCTGCCCCACGCTGCTGCTACATGGGGACAAGTTAATAATAGCACCAAATTCAAAAACTTCTATTGCCTGTTTAAAACCATGGACATAATAGAAGTCACTGTCTCTCTTTGGGGTTTTGTCTTTGGGGTTATTTAAAATAATGTATATTTATGACAATCAGACACTGTCTTATTATGTACTGTCAGTGTTTTTCAACATATATATATTCCCACTTTTTTCGAACCACAAGAAAATAAATCTCCAAAAAAACTTGTGATTTAGGGCTATACAAAAAAGTGGAAGTGAACTCAATTGAGTTTGACTGCTGAGACAAACAAAAAGTAGATGAAACAAAAAGTAATACAGACTGTAGAAGCATTAAAAAGTTCTTTTGGGAGATGGGTGCCCCAGCTTGTTCCCGCCTGATTTAGATATTTTGCATACTTTGTCAGAAAGAGCCCTGGGAGTCACTACTTGGCGCTTTGGGCTGAGAGACGATTGCTCTTTTTCACTGCTCTGTCTGAAAAAGCTGATTAAAAGATGTGACAGAGGCCAAACATACATGACATACGCGAAAACTAGTCCCAGAAGCAAACCGATTATACACTTTCATACTTTTAAAATATGAGACATTGGCGCCCTCTAGAGGCAGATGTTGCGTCGTGGGCGTGTCTATGATGAGTCTGCAGAGTGAATGTGGTCGAGCCATGGGTCGAGCTCGTTGTTGATATTTGGAAAACGAAACCTAGACACTATTTTTACTTGCGGTTCGAGGCAAGTTTTCTTTACAAATGAGTTTCTGCCACCGTCTCAGTAAACATCGATAACTCACGATGGAAGAAATCGGGGAAATGTCCATAAGGTAACAACCATACACTGTAACTACGCGGTTCTTTCTGATCTAATATCATGTAACCTACAAGGCGTTAGAAAGACTTTATTCATCGGCAAGTTACGTGAATCTCAAAAGTTACACGGGTCAAAACAAGTAATACTTTATTTTTATTTTTTTTCAGTGGATTAGTATTTAATTTATGAGCCTCTCTACATAAAGGACTTACCCGTTTGTGAAGTTTCAAGTCAAATCTGTTCATAAAACGAGAAAACATGTAAACAATGTAAGCTAGACAATCCTGTAGGTCGCATTTGTCAACTTTGGCGACATCTGCAGGTCACGTGGCGAATAACAAGTCAACTTTACTACTAGGATTTTCTAGTTATCTTTGTAGAAACATGATATAATAATAATGATAAAATATAGATATTTGAATAGATCCTTAAGATAGTTTTGACATTTATCGACATTGGTCATCCGCTTTTATGACTGATGTGTTTTTTTCCGTTGCGTTCTCTGTGTTCGAACGGTTTCATTTTCTGATTTTGTTGGCAAATCCAGAACTTTGTAAAGTCCTCTGAGATAGCTGCGCTTATACAAAATTTATTGAATTAATTGAGCAATATTTTTTATTGATGCATACATATATAGATCTTTATTTTTTCACTAACTAAATTGGACCAGATTGTTCTATTATCAGTGAAGGAAACCTGACTAGAGGCTGAGGCCACGGCAAAACTGGTTCCAAATCATGCCACATTGTTGAAAATTTTCTACCAACCTAGCAGGAGATACTCTACTGCCATATATTTTTCACAGACAACACATAGCCACATAGTTTTGATTGCGTGCGTTCTGCTTTCTATAGTTTCGAGTCCTGGGTTGGGCTCCAGAGATAAGACACAAGCAAACAAAGGAAACATTGGTAGTTAATGTTTCACTGAGTTTATCTACAGAAGGTTCAGAAGAATATAATCTGCTAATTGTGTTGGCTTCAATTATAAACCTGGATGCGAAAGACCTCTGAAGCTAAGCAGGTCAGAGCCTGGTTAGCACTGTGATGGGAGACCTCTGGGAACAGCAGGTGCCACGGTAAAGCTGCGACGGTAAAGGGCCAAATTGTTGTTGTGTACTTTGGCAAGATACTTCACCCACCATGCCTAAAATGTGTCCTGTGTGTGTGTGTGAATGATGGTGGAAGGAGCAGATGGCACATACTGGTTGCCTCACTTCTGTCAGTGTTCCCCAGGGCAGCTGTGGCTACAGTAGAAGTTTCTCACCTCTGTGTAAGGAGTGAATGAATAATGTGAAGTGTTTGAGTGTCCTGAAAAGCCCTATATAAAACCAATGCATTATTTATTATTATATAAAAGAATTCTGAAACTATAGGGACCGATCAAGACTGCCAAGCCATCTGGTTCGCAGTCTTCCAAACTTGTTTATCAATTCAGTGGTAGTGTTAAAACCATAGACTGTATATATTAACGGACGTAATCACGCCTATCTCCACCGTTCTAACTAATGGTGATTATTGATTCAAAATGGCCGCGGGCGCTGGAAAATGTGAAAAAACGCATCTGCGCATGCATCAGCCGGCACGAGCTCCATTCATTTGAACGAGAGACTTCAAAAATTCACAGCGAGTAAACTAGAGTAGTCCAAAAAAAATCACCCCCCTCAGCATTGACACACATGTGGAACGGAGCTTTGGGCCAAGAGTCGACTTTTGGACCATCCTGTAAAGATGTTTTTGAGAGGTCTGCCAATGCTATATGTTAGCATTGGCTAATTCTTATTCCGGGTCCACCCCCATCGGCCCGGGGTATGTTGCAAGCATGTCAGCGCACGTCATTTAAGCCACTGGTTAAAACTGGTGTTACTGGTTGTCCAGTTCTATTTTTTTAAACCAGCGAGCCTTGAAAAGCCTTGTTTGATGTGTCTTTTTGGAAATGATCCAATATTAACTAACATGTCAAAATACTGTGAGAGAAATTTAGAAAGACTTTTGCAACTTGGACTCTGAGGAGCACAGGGACTGGCCTCCTGCTGGAGGCAGATTAATGCAGCTCAAATCTGGAACAGTCTTCCTGTAAATGTGAGACAGGCTTCTTCTCTGACAATATTCAAATCCAGGCTAAAACAGTTCTGTTTAGCTGTTTATACAACTGAATGATTTGAAATTTACTCTCTTTAATGCACTGTAATTATTTATTGCCTTGTTATTTCAATCTTTTTTTGTTCAGCACTTTGTGTTGCCTTGTGTATGAACTGTGCGATACAAATAAACTGGCTTTGCTTTGCCTTTCCTTGTTTGATTTGCTATACAATACTCTTTGACAAGAATGACGTTGCAGTGTTGAGAGCTTAAACTATGTGAACTCTTGCAGGGCACGTTTGGAGGAGGCTTTAACCTCTTATGCTATGGACACTTTCTCGGACATGGAGACACTGAAGAGTTTTGTGTCTGGACTCTCTGGGTGGATGCTGCAGAGAGAGACGGAGCTGTTGAGTCTCATCGACATCAAAGAAAGAACAGCGACAATCAACCTGAACTGGAGCCACGTTAAGAATTCTGAGGTGAGAACACGGATGTCGAGGCCTCTGGATGTGACGCATACATACAATTGTAAAAATAAATGTTGAAAATTAGGATTCTATTCTATTATTCTGTACTTTGAGAATAGATCAGCCTAAAAGAGAGTTCTCCAATCACACACACACTCAATAGACAGAAATAGACAATGAGCCATTATCTTCTATTTAAATCTAATTCTAATTAATTAAAAAACAGTACAGACCAAAAGTTTGGACACACTTTCTTATTCTATGAGTTTCCTTTCTTTTCATGACTATTGACTGTAGGTCTATTTGACCAATAAGGAGAGTGGTGGGTGCTGGGCCAGATGTAGGCCTGTCGCGATATTCAATAAATCAGTTAATCGAATGATAATTAAAATTAGCTCAATAATGTGTCTTGCCGCGAAACATTCCATTTGCATGCTTGTTTGTTTTCCCTGTCTCTCTCTCTCCCTCTCTCTCTCGGGTCAGAGAACCGCAAAGTGGTCACGGGAACATTAGCGGTCTAGCGAGCAGACTGAAATAACTCAAAAATATAAAATACAGCCAAAACAGGACCTAAACCAGGACTAAACCAGGATCTAACCAGAATTGACAATGGGGGACACAGTAGTTGTGAACATATGCCATATGCCTCTTTCAGTTCTCTCTCAGGCTCTAGTAGTGACTAAACTAGCGGAGCTAGCGTTAGCGTGTTGGCCAATGCAGAAGTACCGTTTAATAATAAAATAAAATAAACTTATGGTGCACCTCCGTGAACACATACTACTGTTATATGAAGTCTCTGGACACAGAGACTCGGCAGAGCTGCATTCTTGGACTTTACAAAAAAATGGATGGAATGGGTGGATAGATGCAAATTATCTCAGAACGACAATATTATCGCTTATCGCAATAATTTCTGAGACAATTAATCGTCCAGCAAATTTTTTTATTGTGACAGGCCTAGCCAGATGACCTTGCCTCCACAGTCACAAAATCATAGTTTTGATGCCTTCAGTGTGAATCTACAATTTTCATGATCAGGAAAATAAAAACCTCTTTGAATAAGAGGGTGTGTCCAAACAGCTCGTCAGCATCACTTCCCGGCTGCGTTTAAACAGAGCCTCTCAGTCCTGCATCAAGCTGGTGTTCGTGCAGCAACCCCAGAGTATAGCAGAGTGATCAACGGTAATCAAAACCGTTTAAATTTGGGGGCAGAAAAATGTATGAATTATAATCTTCTATCTGCTTTTTTCTGATCATGGAAATGTTTGATTGAATTGAGAAAAACTCGTATATCTATGCATTTTCATGAAAATAACACAAATGACCTAACCTTCCCTAACCCCTACTCTGGTGGTGGAAGCAAAGAGAAGGGTTAAAGAGCTCATACAGCTGATGAGGCGGTGATGGGGAGGAGGAGAGTTGCTGCACGAATATGAAAGCACAATGACAAGGCAGAGCTTAAATGCCACCAGCTAAGTGTGATTGACTGATTGGTTTTTATAGTGTAGGAACTTTAGGACTGAGAACAATGACTCGTGCACATAGTTTCTACAATTCAGTTCAATTTTTTTATTGTATATCCCTAAATCACAACAGTCTCAGTTATCTTGTAGGACTTTACACAACCGTTGAATTCGCCAGCACAGATCAGCGAATCAAACAGCTCAAACAACACCACAGTTTTTTGTTATACCCACTAACAGTCTAACAGGCCCTCCTGCATTAGCAAGAAAAACCTCTAAAACCCAGTGGGAGAAAAGTCCAGAGCTCCAGTCAGAACCTCTGCTTCATGTGTTTGTTCCATGGTGTCAGTAATAGAGACTATAACTAGTCATGCTTCATCTCTGATGCTCTCTGACATCCAGGACAAAGGAAAGGCCTTCGTGGAGTTCATGAGGAGCACGTTTATCCCGTCTGCGGCGGCGGAGCAGAGAGCAAAGCTGGAGGAGGAGCTGAGGGCCACTTTGAAGGGCAGCCTGATGGGCCTGGAGGAACTGCAGAGGTTCCTGGAGGCCGTGGAGAGGCTGTCCGTCACCTCAGTGCATGTGTTTGAGGAGGACGGTGTGCTGCTGCTGCCTGAAGAGGGCGCTCTGGACACAGCGCAGGACGTCATCACAGCAGCCAAGAACATCTGCATCCATGTGGTGGAGTTCAAACGAGCACACACAGAGTACTTCAGCCCCAGACTGCACAATGTGGAGGTGATGGTTTACCAGCTGGACCAGTACCTGCAGAGTGTGCAGCGGATCTGTGGCACCATGAAGAAAGGGTACGCTTTCACTACTTTTACTGAAACTCAGGGTTTAGGGTCCCACTGGTACGTCCATGGAACAGACAGGAACAATGTTTTTCATCTTTACTATGGTCTGTAGGAAGGGAATAACTGTTTGATTCAGCTGTACAATATTACAGTGAATGTAATTGAACATTGTTGGCTGAAGGTGATCATGATGAGTAATGTGTTTATTTTACAGGCCTTTGAACGACTTTGTCTATTCCAAACTTCTGGTGGACATCGATGAAGAAATCTGCGATGACGATGTTCAGAAGATGCTGGACAACATCACTTTGCTCAAAGAGCTCAGGTGAACCACAGGTCACTGCTCGCCTCATGAGCACCGTCTTTCTCACGCGATCAAACTACTGTAGTATCAAATAGGGCTGAGTTAAACTTGATAGATTATTGAAATAGTTGTCAACTGATTTTGGAATTGATTCACCGTTTTTTCAACCTTCTATAGACTTAAAACACTGATTTTTCTCACTGTTTTTTGGGTTGTTCCTTGTCGATGCAGGAGGGTCTAAAGCAGTGGTTCCTAACCTGGGTTCGATCAAACCGCAAAGGTCTTTCTGTGTGGAGTTTGCATGTTCTCCTTGTGTCTGTGTAGGTTTACTTTGGGTGCTCCAGTTTCCTCTATTTTTTATATCTTAGAAGTGTATGCTGATTTTTACATGCCTAACTCTATTCCCTACATCTCTTCTATTGACTGTTTGCGCCAAGAGCCAAAGCAATGTCCTAGTCAGTGACTTCCTGTTACTTACATGGCGATAATAATGATTCTGATTCTAATTACAGTCGTTTAGTGATGAATACAGATTAGTTGTGCTTCAGACTTGTTTTGACCCGTGCCTGGTGTCTCTGCCCACAGACAGGACGAGGCCTTCAGGATGGTCTTCTTGTTCCAGGAGGAGTACAGCAGCAGCTTCATGGAGCGCTTCAGTGAGTCTGCTCCCAGAATGCACCAGTTCCTGAGTGAGCTGGAGGACAGCGCGGTGCAGTTGGACCGCATGAACATGGGCGCCCGAATCTCCAGCGTGACGGGCAGCTCGTTGGGGGCCGTGGGAGGCGTGCTGTCCATCATCGGCCTGGCGCTGATCCCAGTGACCGCAGGAGCCTCTCTGGCCCTCACCATGACCGGGGTCGGCCTGGGCGTCACCAGCGGAGTCAACAGTGCAGTCACTACGGCCACCGAGATCGGAGTGAACCACACACAGCAGAAAAGAGCCAGTGAGGCGTTTGAGAAGTTCATGGAGGACGTGAAGAACATCCAGGACTGTTTGGACGAGGTCACCACAGAGTACAAGCTTCATGACGGCCCAGCAGAGGTGGTTGTGGTCGTGGGAAAGATCTTGGGAAAAGCAGGTAAGACAAACATAAATAACCATAGATATTGTGAAGGACAGTAATTAGCTTTTATGCTTCATAGCAAGAAGCATAAAGTTTGCATGTTCTACTCATGCCTGCTTGCTTTCTCCCAGCACAAAAACATTTACAATAGTTTAGAATGTGTGTTTGTGAGTGCGACCATAGGAATACACATGGGAAATAATAATTCTAGTTATAGAATCAATATGGGTCTCTTTGAGGTTTCTCACTTAATACTGGGTTTTTGAGTCATTCTTTGCCAATGCCAATGGGTCTGAGAACATTGAATAACATGTATGGACAGTGGTCATCCTGCCCACCTTTGGACCAATGTGTTATTATTGCCTTTCCTGTGTTAAAACCGTTTGATTTTCTGATCAACAACTTTTTAAAGTGCTGATAGTGACTGTGATTTAGAGCTTTATAAAAACAAATTTTATTTAATATGTACTTCATATTTCCGATCTATTTAAAGATCAGAGAATCAAGCAAAACCATTTTATTCCTGAATGTATATTTTAGTGTTTGGTGTAATCACTCTGTGTGTGTTTTAGGTACGGTGGGAAAAGGCATCGATGCTCTGGTGGACATGGCTTCTGCAGCGAAGCTGCTGAGGTCTGAGGAGGCTGTTGCAGGTGCTGGTAAAGTCTTGGCTGAAGAGGGCAAATCTCTTCGTAACGTCCCACGTCTGGCCTCAGAGCTGCCGGACGTGGGGCAGGCAGCGGCGCGAGGGCCCCTGGCCATGTCCCGCGGGGCCAGAGGAGGCTTCATTGCTCTCAACGCTCTGTTCCTGGGGATGGACGTGCTCTTCATCGTCAAAGACAGTTTGAGTTTGTCGCGAGGCAGCGAGACGGAGCTGTCCAAGTTCATCCGAGCCAGATCTGCTCTGTGGCGCTCAGAGATGACGTCATGGCAGAAGCTCCACGACCTCCTGGAGAAAGGCCTGCCGTCCTTCAAGAAAAAACAAGCCATTCTCATTACAGAGTTTTACCCAGAGCTGGAATTCCACAGGGAGAAGATCACATGGGAGACGGTGACAGAGGCCGGGAACAAAGAGGATCTGTGTGAAGCTGAAGAGGAGCCAGAGGAGGAGCCAGAGGAGGAGCCAGAGGAGGAGCAGGAGAGGAGCAGCTGCTCTCTACAATAGATCTTTGTTACAGCCTCAGTCCTGATTATTATCGTCAAACATGACTTACTCTGATATTTGGTTAAAACTACATTGTAACATGTACTGTACTGTACTATTTATGAACGGACAGCTTGAATAAGACGTGACCTGTACATTTTAGGAGATTACATTCATATCACAAATGCCATTAAAGCTCAGGCCCCAAACTTCCAAAGCCTGAATAATTAAACTATGTAATAATCTCCTTCTAATTCCTATCTCTCAAACTAGTTAGATGGAGAATGGCTTTAACCACATGGAAACTTTAATCACATGCAGAGATTTGTGGTGCCATCTGCATGTAAGAGCTTGCTCTTGGCAAATGTTAGAAGCTAAGCAGGGCAGTGACTGTTCAGTACTGTGATGGGAGACCACTGGGAACACCAGGTTTCAAAAGTGTCACTCGATACCTTGACTCAGTCTGGTGTGTGACTGAATGTTTTGTGGTGGTCAGAGGGGCTGCCGACACAAACTGGGTGCCTTGCTTCTATCAATGTGCCTCAGGACAACTGTGGCCACAGGAGGAGTTAACCAGAACCACGTAGGAAGATAATTATGTTAAGCATCTTTGAATGTCCAAAAAAGCACAATATAAAAATGACAATGGATTTCTTAACATAATGCAAATGATGAACTGTTTGTTCTTAAGGTGTGGTTCTTTTTTTACACGTTATATGCCTTGATAAACAATGTTTTTAATTTATGTAAACTTTAAAAACTAACTTAATATCTCTATCTTATCAAACACTGACATCACCAAAGCCTGTTCAAACTGGTTTTAATGACCCACCAACATGAAGCTTGTGGCTTACTGTATATATAGCAATATTCTATTTCTAATTTATAAAATGAAAACTATAGAAGAATTGTCCCTTTTTTGAGAGAAAATTCTTTAGGCTCTTTCTGTCTCACTTTGTGTCTTGAATCAGCACTTACGCACACACATGCTAAGAACTTTTATAGATAACATGTTTTGTACTGTACATTTTGAATAATCGTTGCCAAAGACATTTTGACAATTGGACTGTATATTTACTGTTGATTCTTAATAAATCTATTCATATTCACAATGTTGAATGTGTGCTGAAGTAAATTACTTTTTCTGGTTTCACCTCTGATACTTTTAAACGCACCAGATGAAGATGACATTTTACCTGGATGCGAAAGCACAACCCTGTCAAACCTTTGAAGCTAAGAAGGGCACGGCCTGGTTAGCACGGTGATGGGAGACCTTTGGAAACACCAGGTGCCACAGTGGTCGACTGTGTCTGTAAAGACCAAACTGACATTGTGTCCTTAGGCAAGACACTTCACCTACATTGTCTAGAAAATGGTTGCTGGTGGGAGGGGCCAATGGCAAGGAGTGTGCAAGTCAAATTCACCTCCATCATGGACAACACCTCCCACTGCACAGGACTGTAGAGGATCTGAGGAGCTCTCAGTGCAAGAAGGAGCGCTACCGCAAGGCCTTTATGGCTTTTTTTTTTTTTGTGCCTTTATCCCTACTGCTGTCAGACTGTACAGTAAGTCACTTTAAGATGCGCATGCACTAGGACTGAAAAAAAAACATGCACTACTATTTCTACTGTTTCTTAATTGCCACTTTCATTGTACATAATATATATTGCATTTAACAGGTTTGCACACTTCTTTCTTTGCACAAATCTGAGTGATTCTATCTATGCCAAATGTGACATGTAAATTTCTCCTGTGTGAGATCAATAAAGTCTATCTTATCTTATCCTATCTTATATTCACACACATTCACCCACGCATGCACACGCACACACATCTGAATACATACATGTACACACACACTCTCACACTACAGTGGCGGTTGGAAGTCATTACTATTTTGTATAATTGGCAAACAAAAATACGTTGCAGTATGCAGTATGAATACTTTATCATGTTTTATTGAACAAAACTGCTAGAAGTTCACCTGAAAACATTTTAAAAGACATCCTCAAGATTAACTTTTATTCTTAAAGTTCATACAGTAGTAGTGTTAGCAGGACAGAAAATCCTTTGTTCTTGTTAAAACATGTCGAATGATTGATTGGAATTGTGGTGGCCTCTAGTGGTCAAAATGCAACTTGCGCCCAGAAAATAATTATAAAAAACTATGTGGTAGAGAAAGTGAAAGAGATAGAAGACTGCTTTCCTTCATGTTTTACACTGTATTTGATTCACAGCAAGAAGGGACTGGGTTAAATTCCACCTCCAGGCCTTTCTGTTGGGAGTTTGCATGTTCTACTCGTGTCTCTTCAGTTTCCCCCAGCACTGAAAACATTTACAAAAGTCCAGGGTGTGTGTTTGTGAGTGCGATGATCGTGAAGACTATGTTTGTGAGTGCAATCATAAAGACTACGAGACTACAACCTGGTCTATTTACATCTCTGTAATAAGACTAGTTATAAAATCAATAATGACCTTTGTCCCACTGGGTTTTTGAGATGTTTCTTGCCGATGGAGGAGGGTCTAAGGACAGTGATGATCTGGGATATTTAGGAACATTTAATAACATTTATGGACAGCGGTCATCCCGCACTCTATGGACCAATGTGTTTGCTGTTATTGCATTTCCTGTGTTCAATCTGTTTGATTCTTTGATCTGTTGGTGACTGGTGTGATTTAGATCCGCGCAAAAAACTTTATTCTATTGAATTTCATATCTACTTCATATATCTGATCTATTTAATGATCGGATAATAAAGCCATTCAATGTTATTTCTGAAAATGTGTTTACGTGTTCAGTGTATTCACTCTGTGTTTTAGGTGTAGTGGGAAAAGGCATCATTCCTTGGTGGACATGCTGTGGTCTGAGGAGGCAGTTGCTGGTGCTGGTAAAGTCTTGGCTAGAGAGGCTATTACTCGACAGCTAACAAACCCTGTTGAAAGTTATTAGCTGTCGAGTTAGCCACAGGACACGTCATCGGCCTACAGTACATCAGTAAAATGACGTATGCCGCAGCTCAACTTGACAGGAAAGGTACTGCTATCACACAGTAGCAGTGTGGTTTCACAGGAGCAGTTGACCAAACTTTACACGAAACTTTGACCTTAAAACACACATCTCACAACACAGAACCATCGACATCTCGCCTCAAATTGCATTAAAAGTGACAGTCGTGTCTTATTTCATTCGTATTTAAACTTTTTACACAACTCAGGGACTGTATGTCCACCATCTTGGATTGCTCTGGCTGCCATGAAACACGTATGCACAGGTTTGCAATACATCATAAACAGCTGAGGCGGCTCAACTCGACAAGTGGAGCAACTTGACAGAACAGGGGCACTTTTACAGTCATAGTAAAAACTCAGGGTAAAGACATATTATTATAGATCCATGGTTAAGACATACCAGGGCCTTGCGAAAGTATTCGGCCCCCTTGAACCTTTCAACATTTCGCCACATTTCAGGCTTCAAACATAAAGATATAAAATTTTATTTTTTTGTCATGAATCAACAACAAGTGGGACACAATCGTGAAGTGGAACGAAATTTCTTGGATAATTTAAACTTTTTTAACAAATAAAACACTGAAAAGTGCGGCGTGCAATATTATTCGGCCCCTTTACTTTCAGTGCAGCAAACTCAGTCCAGAAGTTCAGTGAGGATCTTTGAATGATCCAATGTTGTCCTAAATGACTGATGATGATAAATAGAATGCTCCTGTGTGTAATCAAGTCTCCGTATAAATGCAACTGCTCTTTGATAGTCTCAGGGTTCTGTTTAAAGTGCAGAGAGAACCATGAAGACATAGGAACACACCAGGCAGGTCCGAGATACTGTTGTGGAGAAGTTTAAAGCCGGATTTGGATACAAAAAGATTTCCCAAGCTTTAAACATCTCAAGGAGCACTGTGCAAGCAATTATATATATGTGAAAAAACGCATCTGTGCATGCGTCAGCCGCCACGAGCTCCATTCATTTAAACGAGTGTCTTCAAAAATTCACAGCGACTAAACTAGACTGATAAAAAAAAAATCACTCCCCTCAGCATTGACACACATGTGGAACAGAGCTTTGGGCAAAGAGCCAACTTTTCCACCCCCAGCGGCCGTCATTTTGGCCACTTTTGAGCCGGGACCCGCCCCCACTGGTTACTGGTTACTTCTCACTGCTCTCAGGTCCAATATTTATTTGCAATTAATTGCGATTATTATTTACAAAGCCTCTAATTAATTAGAATAATTTTTTAATCGAGTCCCAGCCCTACAACATGGATTATTTTTTGGCTAAAATCTATGATTAGTTCATAATACCATTACACCTGCATGTAAAAGCCAGACCCTATCAGACACATGAAGCTAAGCAAGGCAGGGCCTGGTTAGTACTGTGATGGGAGACCCCTGGGAACACCAGCTGCCACACTGGGAAAGCTGGAAAGTGCCAAACTGTTGTTGTGTCCTTGTTGTGGGACAAGGCAGTTAAAAGCAGAGCTATAATCGATGAAAAGCATTCTCGCGACAGATTTACTAGTGTCCAAGTGACTGTAGACAGAGTTCAGAGCAAAGGAGATGGCATCCTCCACACTCCTGTTCTGTCTGTAAGCAAACTGGAGCGGGTCAACACTCACAGGGATCTGGCTCTTAATGAAGTCCAGCACAAGCCGCTCAAAAGTTTTCATAAGAACAGACGTGAGGGCCACAGGACGATAGTCATTCAGGCATGTAACAGGAGTTTTCGTAGGAACTGGAATGATGGTCGACTCTTTAAAGCAGTTCGGCACAGTACAGTTCCTTAGCGGGCACGGTGGCTGAGTGGTTAGCACTCTCGCCTCTCAGCAAGAAGGTCCTGGGTTCGAATCCCGGTTGGACCAGGGCCTTTCTGAGTGGAGTTTGCATGTTCTCCCCGTGTCTGCGTAGGTTTCCTCCGGGTGCTCCGGTTTCCCCTTCCACTAAAAATATGTACAATAGTTCTGGCATGTGCCTCCTGTTCTGGCACCGCTGCTCCCAAAAATAACAATTGT